TTGTATGATGAAGTTGCGTACAATGGCATGAGGCCCATTGTTGACAGCTATTAGCAAATATCTCCAGTGGCAGGACACGGGATGTTAGATGGGGAGGGTTCCAAGTTACTACAGAGAATTCTTTCCCCGGTGTCTGGCAGTGGGCCTCATTGACCTGCATTTAACCAATTGCCATATTTGGGATTGGGAAGGAAACCCCCCCCCCCCCCCCGGGTCAGGTTGGCAGAGACCCCGAGGGCTTTTTGCCTTTGTCTACAGCGTGGGGCATGGATCACTTGCTAGTTTGAACTAGAGTTAATAGTGGATTCTCTAACTTGGAGTCTTTAAATCAAGATTTGAAGACTTTAGTAACTCAGCCACAGGAGTGGGTAGATGAGTTTCTGTGGCCTGCAATGTGCAGGTCAGACTAGATGATGATGATTGTCCCTTCTGGCCTTAAAGGGGATGTGCTTCTACACTGCAATAAAAGACCTATGGCATGGCTGTGGCTGGCCCAGGTCAACTGACTTTGGCTTGCAGGTCTCAGACTGCAGGGCTAAACATTGCAGTGTAGATATTCAGGCTCAGGCTGGAGTCCAGGATCTGAAACCCCATGTCTGGGGTGGGTCTCAGAGCCTGAACTCCAGCCTGAACCTAAATGTCTGTTGCAAATTTTAGCCCTGCAGCCCAAGCCCTATGAGCTTGAACCAGTCTCCCCATGAGACTTGGTATCATGTTTTTTTTTTTTTTTTCAGTGTAGATATATCCTATGAGACTTAGCTGGGCAGTAAAGCTTACTTTGTTTGCCAGGTATGCATTATTTTACAGGGTGGAGAAAGCTGTTATAATAGAAACTTCTGTCTCCTTAGTATGGCAGCAGATTTTTGTTTAGCTGGGGAAAACTTATCACTAAAATAACGAGGCAAGATGTAATGTAAGTATACCTGTAGACCATTTTACTCTGCAGGTAACTAGAGTAGTTTACATGCCTGTTGATCAGTCTTTTCTTGGAAGGTGGAAGTAAAATTTGTCTTTCTTTCAACAGCCTAAAATGACTACCGTGCGAATGCAGTAGAATAAATGGCGTCAAAAGTAACAGATGCTATAGTCTGGTATCAGAAGAAGGTAAGCTTTTCAGTTAAAATATGTGTTGGTGCTGGTGGTAGTGATAAAAGAAAGGAAGGGGGATTTTGGTGGTGATTGGGTTTTTGTTTTGTCTTTTTTACATTTTTTTTTTTCTTGAAGTGTTGATTTGTGTAGTGTCTGGAAATGAGTAGCTCAAACTATTTTCCCAAAAATGATTGATTAAACATATATTAAAAGTGTGTTTTGATTCCTTTTGGGCTGCTTCTTTTTTTTCCTTAAAGGGAAAATGTAGTTTTGAAGGAAAGTTTTCATTTATTGGTTGTAGACTAAAGCATTGGTGTATAGGAGAATGTTCAGTTTATGTAGTACTTAAGTCACTTTCTCATACTTTTAAAAGTATTGAAATAACACTATTTGATGGAAAAGCAAACTGCCAGGCTGAAAGTAAAGATTTCATTTATCTTTTCACTCGTCAGTTAATGGCTATGCTTTCCAGAATATTCAAATTTTAAAATTTCTTTTATTTGTACTGATAAAAGTTGACCAGATTTTTTTTTTTAATTATCCATTATATATCCACAATTGTGTTTCTAGGATTTGTTAAACTGTTCCATTAATGTACATGAAAACTGCTAAATGTTGCTCTGTATTTTGGTTTTACAATCTCAGCAATTTCAAACTGTATCATTCATGACTTAGTCTCCCACAATTTTTTAATATACTTTATAAGTTGAACTGCTTTTCAGTTATAAAGCGGCACAGGGCTAGAATTCATGATTTCAGTGCTGTGATGCTAGGATTTAAAGCAGGAATCTTTTTTTAAAGTAACATGCGTTATATATGTACTATAATTAGGCTCTAATGAAAAGTACCTTTTTTAGGGGTTTTTTGTTATGGATTTTAAAAAAACCCTCATTTGTTTGTAAATCAGCAACTCTTAATATTTTTTGTTTACTTGGGATAGCCTAATGAGAATGCACATCTCATTTTTATGAGCAGGGTGACAGCAGTTTACAGTTTTAGTAGCATGGTTCACTATCCTACATACAAGATACGGAATAGTTAATGTTTTCATTGCAGTATTGTGTTGAACCTTTACAATTGTGGACAACATGACATTGAAAACGCAAATCTAAAACCTTGATAACTAAATTAGATGCTATTTATAATGTAGTTTTGATGATATTAAAACACATTTTATTGTAAAATGTTTTCAAAGCACACTAATGAATGAAGACTACTTCAGTGATCTTTAGTTATCCCTGTCCCCCATTATTTAGGTCTTTGCTAGAAGAAATAAAATAAAACATTTAAATTTAAAAGTGCAGGAACCTTTTGTTGTAGGGAAAACTAATGGAAGAATTACTGACAAATAGATTGAAGCTTTAGGGTTGTTTTTCCCCCCTCTGGTACTAGTTGCAGTCTCTCTTTACAAGTCTGTAAACCTTTGAGTCTGAACACTCTAAGATAAAATTACATACCAAACACCCACCTATTAAAATATTATTTAGGTTGTAAAGTCATGGACTTGAAAGTTTTAGATCAGGGGTCAGCAACCTTTCAGAAGTGGTGTGCCAAGTCTTCATTTATTTACTCTAATTTAAGATTTTGCGTGCCAGTAATACATTTTAACGTTTTTAGAAGGTCTCGTTCTATAAGTCTATAATATATAACTAAACTATTGTTGTATGTAAAGTAAATAAGGTTTTTAAAATGTTTAAGAAGCTTCATTTAAAATTAAATTAAAATGCAGAGCCCCCCGGAATGGTGGCCAGGTCCCGGGCAGTGTGAGTGCCACTGAAAATCAGCTTGCGTGCCGCCTTCGGCATGCGTGCCATAGGTTGCCTACCCCGGTTTAGATAATATTTTTATTTGTTTCCCATGTAACATTAATTCAGTCATCTTATGGTATGCTTTATGATAGTCTTTCCATGATGACCCCCTATTTTTTTTTCCCACTGCACCCTGGCCATTCAGAGATCAGGACGGATGGTGTTCAGGGAATGATTTAGAATTGTGTTGTGAAATTAAGCTGTTGGTAGGATCTCTGCCTCATTTGCTCTAGAAGTTGGAAGCTATATAAGGAATGAGGTAAGGAACTGTTGAAAGAGAGGATGGTCTGGTTAAGACAGGTAAACGGCACACAGCAATACTTTATTTTCATGTTAATATTATGTTCCTGGGCCTGCTGTGAGGAAGTGATGAGTCCTCGCAACTGCAACTAAAGTCAGTGGAAGCTGTGCACGCTCAGCTCTTCTGGCAGTAAAATGCACCTCTACCCCAATATAACGCGGTCCTCTGGAGACAAAAAATCTCACCGTGTTATAGGTGAGACCGTGTTATATCGAACTTGCTTTGGCCCTCCCTGTTCCTTGTTCCCTGACCACCCCCTTCAGAGACCCCCAACCCCCCTGCTCCCTGTCCCCTAGCCACACCCCTCACCCCCTGACAGACTCACTGGCAGCGGCGGGAAGCAGTGTAGCCCAGCCCCAGCCTGCTCCACTCCGCCACCTCCCAGCTGCGGCGCTCCGCTTCCTGCCATCGGTGAGTGCGGGGAGGTTGGGGAAAGGATGCCCCCCGCACTCATCTGCGGCGGAAAGTGGAGTGACACGGCCCTAGCCTGCTCCACTTTCCTTGCCCCGGCCCCAGCCATGTCGCTGCGGGGGAGTTGCCACTCACCTGCGGCAGGAAGCGGAGCACCGTGGCTGGGAGCTGGCAGAGTGTAGGGTTACCATATCTAATAAATAAAAAAAGAGGATCCTCCACGGGCCCTGGCCCCGCCCATTCCCCCACCACTGGCCCCGACCCAACTCCGCCCCTTCCCCGCCCTAACTCCGCCCCCTCCTCCCACTCCCAGCCATGCGGAAAGGGCTGCCCGAGCGCTACTGGCTTCACGGTTTGCCGGGCAGCCCCCAGACCCTGCGCCCCCGGTCGGCGCTTCCCCAGCGCAGCTGGAGCCCGGGAGGGGAAGCGCCCAGCCGGGGGCGCAGGGTCTGGAGGCTGCCTGGCAAACCGTGAAGCCGGTAGCGCTCGGGCTTTGGGCAGCCCATATGCCTCCGGACCCTGCGCCCCCAGCCGGGCACTTCCCCTCCCGGGCTCCGGCGGCGCAGGGTCCGGAGGCAAGGGGACTACCTGAAGCCCGTAGCACTCGGGCAGCTCGGCTCTTAAACAGAGCCGAAGAGTCAGGGGAGGAGCAGAGCCGCCATTTTCCCAGACATGTCCGGCTTTTCGGCAGTCATGTCCGGGGAAAAAGAGGACGTATGGTAACCCTAGCAGAGTGGCGCGGGCTGGGGCCAGGCTGCTCTGCTTCCGCTGCTGCCGATGAGTGCGGGGGAGATCCCTTCCCCCAAGCCCCCTGCCCCGAGCAATACGGCTGGGGCCAGGGCGAGGGAAGCGGAGTGGGCTTCTCCCGGCCCCCTGCTAATCCCCAGGGCCACTCTGGGACTGCGGGGCCCCCAAAAGTGCCCCCCCCACAGCTCCTGCCTCACAGGCCCTGGGGGGGGGGAGCCTCTGACCGCCCCTGAGACCCTCTGCCCCTTATCCAACCCCCCGGCCTGGCCCGGCACCCTTAACACGCTGCTCAGAGTACTGTGTCAGAGCTTTACCGCCTTGTATGCAAACCCGTGTTATATTGGGTCGCGTTATATCAGGGTAGAGGTGTAGCTGAACAAATGACAACAGGGTTGGGAATCAGGAGGAGGCCCTGAGATAGCCTCAGGCAAACCTCTCAATTTGGTCATCTGTAAAATGGGGAGAATAATACTGTTATCTCACTGGGGAGATAAAGTCATTAATATGTGAAAGCCCTAGAAAAGACAACAAGGAAATAACTCTGTATTCAGTCCAAAATCTGGATAATTTTCATTAAATAAAGCAGGGGTCACACACTGAATGATGAAGATAAAAACAGCCATTGCATAGATGCCTCATTCCCTATGTTGAAGATTTTCAAGTGCTTGACTTGGCAACATAAAATATATTTAAATAACAGTCTTTAATGTGGTTTATTTCCTAGCCTCTACTTAAAGGAAAAAATTATATTCAGTGCAACCATAACATCCCCCCCCACCCCCCATTGCATCATCTTCAAGCTTTAAACCCTGAGGCTTCCTTCAGCATGGAATTCTGCCAATTGAAATACAGGATCTTCTGCAGAAAGCTGTTATCCCGGGGTGGCGGGAATGGGCTGCTGGGGTTAGAGCTTTGCTTGTTCTGGGAGTGGTGTCAGGGAGTTTGCTTGCCTGTTTTTCTTCTTCCCCAGAAGACTGGGGGATGAGGGGAGAACTCCTGCTCCATGTGGTACCCTAGAGAGGAGAGGGATCAGTAGGGCCATGTCTTGGGCCTTGTTTAGGGGCACCTGGCTTACCTTCCTTTTTCCTCTATACTGAGAGGCAGGGGTAAGCTTCTTCCTCATATGGTGGTCCCAGAAGGAGAGGTGCAGGGCTTAATTTGTGCCCTGGCACCGTTAGGTTTGGCATTTCATAGCCCTGGCACCACTAGCCACTTCGGTTATGAAAGTACAAAAATTGCTTGAGCCCCGGCACCTCTTTCATTACAAATTAAGCCACTGGAGAGATGGGCTTTTGGATTTGGGTGGGGAGAAGAGTTGTTGGGGGAAGCATGAACCAGCTCTTTCTTTCCTCGTCCTGGAAACACAGTTTGTTCTTGGTGTTCCCAGTGTAGCGTGTGTTGTGCTGCTGTTACTTTGGTAATGGCATGGGACCATGTTTGTGTTCAGCTGTTTTGGCATGCTGCCAAAATTTTGCTAATGTCATAAGAGATAGAAGGGAAGTGGCAATTTTAACAGTTTAAAACTTAGCTATTCTTGAATGGAATTTCATGGATGAAGACAAGGCTCTTTTTTGACCCCCCCAGGATTCTTCTCCCAGCTGAATTTCAAAGGCCTTCTGTAGAGAACAGAATGTTCATTTTGTGACCTTTTTTTTAATGGAAAGAATTAGGCAACCTTACAGTTGGTATGGCTACTATCACCTTTTCATGTTCTCTGTATGTGTAAATATCTTCTTGCTGTATGTTCC